TCCTGTAGGGGGCTCGGTGAGCGCTGAGTGACAGCGCTGAGTGGCACCACGCTCCGCGTTCAGTGCTGACCCCTACAGGGTAGGGTGTGCGAGTGCAGGCCACGGGAACGAGGTTACTGTGGGCCATGGCACTCTGGTTGACCCCGAAGGACACGTGACCAGTAAAGTCTACATGGAGCCCCTAGGTCGGGCCTAGGGGGTGGTCACGTGTCGGGGGAAAGATCCTACGGGAAGGGTCGAGAAACGACAAGGGGTTTCTCGAAGGTGGTCGTGACCAAGGGCGGGGCCAGCCACGACCCGGGAGCATATAAACCGGGTCCCCACAGGGACCGGGGTTCAGCGTTGTTACCGTCATCTGAGGATCTACGTTCTACGTCCAAGAAGAGTCACCAACACGTAAACCTGGACCCAAGCCGGGCTCCAGTCCGTCGTAGCTGACTCCTAGTGTGTTTAGGGTAGATTAGTCTGGTGGTCCACCACCATAGGCTGTTATCTGGTAAAGGGGCAGTTCCATGTCCGATTCAATACAGTACACAAAATCCGTGATTTGATCCCATCCGTAAAGGATGTCATTCCTGATTTACAGTACCCTGGAGTCTATAAACTGAGTTGCATTTGTGGCGATTGTTATATTGGGGAAACAAAACTACATGTATCTGACCGCATTCACGAGCACAAGTCAGATTTGAAACACGGTAGGACGAATTCTTCTGCCGTGGCTGACCATTGTTACAACGCTGTGGGTTCTCATGATATTGTTTTCTCCGACACCAAAATTCTCTGCAAGCCGTCTGGATACCACCAAAGATTTGTCCATGCAACCATCCAGATATGCAAACATAGACATAACTTCAACCGAGAAAATGGATTCAAATTGAGCAATCATTGGAAGGATGTTATTAACCAAGTTAAACTTTATCTGCTTTAAAGTTAGGAAAAAAACGCCACTTTTTTCAAATTTTATTGCTGTGGATTTCACACCTGATGATGATTGCTTGTGTTGCAGTCGAAACGTCGTGAGAATTTTTTATTGTTTTGTATTTTTTTAATTTTATTATTTCCCTTCTACGTCACTTTACCGAAATAACCAAGAACATGAATCCCTGCAGTCACGAAAGCTTTAAATCAAAAAGTAGCTTATCATTAGAAATTCATAGCAGGCAAAAACCGAGGCACCCGGAGAAAAATCCATGTGACTACACGGAGAAAATGCAAACTCCAAATATACAGGCGTCAGGGTCGGGAATCGAACCCACGAGCTCCTGCATACCAGGCGAGGCAGTTAATATCTCGCCACCGTGGCACCCCATACTGTAGATGTAGCCAATGTTCCACATATGGATGCAATTTTAACAGCTCTGGCACAGTGTGCACAGCTTCTCGCTTCTAACATGTTCGACTAATTCTGTTTTTAACATAACAGCCCGGCACACTGCTTTCATTAGCATCATCAGCAAGAACACGCCGGCTGATGAGGAACCCAGAACAGAGCAGAAGGGGGGTTCACGTTAACCTGCGGAAGTTCCACAGTGCTTATTCCTCTAAACTGTGCGTCATTTAGCTAATAGTTAAAATAAATTGGAGATTGTGTGTCTTGAAATTGTGGTGAACCGTGATGTGTCTTTTATAAATAAATGGCACCTCCAAATCTGGGTGGGTGTGGCACCCGCCGGTACTGTCGGTAACTTGCTCGGCACATGTTCGAGCGTGAATATTTTCCGGACTTTTTTTTTTTTTAAACACAGATCAACCAATGCGAAACTAAACTCATGTAGCGACCGGGCTCCCAGCTTTACATATCTTTAGCCTCTGAGGAGTGAAACGACAAACAGTTCTCCGGTAAACAAAAGAGAGGAGCAAGCAAAAGTCCTCTTCGTGTATCTCTCTCTCTCGCCGCATCGATCACAAACGCGTTTCTTACGCAACCCATCAGCCCAACGGCCTTCTGGGAATGCGGTCGGGGAAAAACCTGGACCTGTGTCGGCATGAACAGTCTCATCGGCAGTGTCAGCCTTGGTTAAAGCCCATTGCTGGTGATCTTCCGGATGTCAATAGACAAGGACTCTGTTAGATGTGAGGCCTCGTTCGATGCAAAAACTACAATACATGAGGGACTTGTTGACAAAAGTGCACTCCCTGACGGCTGCGTTGGCTGATAGGATGTGTAAATAGACTTGTGTTGTTAATGTGCAGAACAAGGGCGCTGTGGTGTACGGTGCTTTTTTTTCTGGAAGACTTTGCAGTTTTTTCCTGGATTTTTCTGTTTGCGCATAGTCACTTAAAGATGTTTTCTTGTTCATGTTTTAGTTTTTTGTTTGTTGCGGTTGCACCCGATTCAAGAGCCGAATGGCTCACAGGGCTATACCTAATAAATGAAACTGAAAACTGAAAAAACTGTGGAGAATAACGGCATTTTATTATTATTTTGCATTATATATCGGCATAGTTTTTCATCTAACTGGGTCTCTGATCTGACGTAGAGGGCCCTTTGCTACAAACGTCTGGCAGCTCACCAGCGTGGGTTTAACGAAGCCCGACTGCCGATGTGACATCGAATGTCGAAACCGGTCGAGCGTTTGCGTGTAACATACCAATGCTGTTGAAAAAAAAAATTCACTTTCCAGATACTCTATAGGAGCAACGCTAACTGTACGCACGCACAGAGTATGCATGCAGTTCATATGAGGGTTACTCACGATTTGCTAAAAAACGCAAAACATGAAACTTCACCGCACTGTAGAATGTGATGCACGCAAATTGCGATGTGCTTAACAACAAAAAACTCCGGAAAGGTTAACAGTGCCAAAGGGCTACACCGGAGCAAATAAATAACCACGAGGAAATGGCAAAATCAAACAAACACGGGCGGGCAAGGCAGAGCGCGCACTGTCACAGCAACAAAAGTAAAGCATAAACATTACATATTGCAGCCGGTAAGTGTGGGCGAGTGTATGCCTGCCGGCGGGGCCGGCTATCTTGGGCCACACAAGAGGCAGACAAGGCTGACATGCTGGGAAAGCAGAGTGAGCTCTCCACACGTGCGGAGAGAGACCTACTACGACGACGCTGCTGCTGCTGCTGCTACAAAACGCCCCAGGTGACAGGAAGCTGCCATCGTCACCAACCTCGTCGGTGCAGAAATATAAACACGCCAGATGACAACAGTTCGCAAAAAAGATCTAAGTGCAAGAATGCTCCTATCTCAATGGTAGGGCAATATGAAAACTTTAATTGCGTGCTGTGAAAATAGACGAGAAGGCGTGTGTACAGCAAAGATCTGGAAGATGTTTGACGGTGTGTCAGTAAAAACATAAATACGATGGAAAATAAATTAAGAGTAGTGCAAATGTATAGTGTAGAACAGTGGCTATGAATCCAGCGCACTGATTTCGATTCCCAGCGATGGCTAATCATCAGTGACAAGTTACATCTGAACCTGTCCTGGGCACCGATTTAACCAACCACAATGACCAGCATGGCGAAGTATGACCTTGCCAAATGCAAGCGGCCTTCATCCAGCAGTGCAATGATGCCGGGCTGATGAATACGATCGTAAAATATGTATAAACCAACCCGTAACATAACGTATTAAAAACGAGAATTCATAATTAATCAAGATTAAGTGGACCCTGCACGGGGACTGGAATAGCTTTGTGAATAAGATGCTGCGCGTGATTTGTGCATCCTGAAACCGCACCATTTAAACAAAGAGTTAAATTAGAGACAGGAAATATTATGGCCCACTCAACGTGCATGCCTGGGCTGGGACTGCATAGGAAGCACCCCCCCCAACCCCCCCCCCACTAACCCCCCCGCCCCCCTTAACACCCCCCCCCCACAACGCCTCTAACTCTCCCCATCCTACAGGAATTAGGATAGAAAACTCGAAATTCCTCTGTGCGCACAATAAGACAAAAGGTGGCATGTGTTCTGTTCAGCGAACTGTCACGCAGGTGAAATAAGGGAGACCACATTATTCGGATAAGTTAACTGGCATATCAGTTACAACGCAAGTGAAAATGAATAGAACTCGAACATGTGTGTTTGTGTGTGCATAGGTTGGAGCAGTGGCGGCCGGGCGTGGTGCTGGCCACCCACCCCCCTCGTGTGCTGTGCCGGCCTTCATAGGTGCTACTCGCTAAGGGCACTTGCCCCCCAACAGTCTGCTCAGGCTCTATACAGGGGATCTTTGTCTTTTTTTTTAAGTGGCACGGTGGGTAGGCACACTGTGCTGTGAACTAAGTGAAGTGATAACGTGTTTCTTTCGGTTAGATCGCGTAAATGTAAACACGTGTCGTACAGCCACCTCCGCCCGACACAGCCAATCAGTGAGGTGGGTGTGCGACACATTGACTAATGTCGGCGTATAACCCCCCAAAAAAAAAAAAACCTCATCATGAGTATAATTGGCCACAAAAGCCTCCGTGTAAAAGTCAGTGGCACGACTCTGATTCCCGGCCACGGTTGACATCAGTGGTGAGTGTGACGATGCAATGCAACCTTAAGTCGCTTGACCCTCTAACCCAGGTCAGAGTGCAGTGGTGCTTCATCACACAAGGTGCCGCCACCCCTCCCCCCCACCCCTTCTTCACAATGGGTTGCAATCTCTAATGTAGAAAAAAACGTATCATAGAAACCAATATCTCAAGAGGGCCCGAAGAGGGGGAGATGTGCGTACAAACTCATCGTCTTGAACGGTGTGTTATAACGCAACTAATAACAAAAAAACTGGGAATTTCATCAATGTTCCACGGATGAGTCACGGGTTTCTCAGGACAGCCACCTCAAACAGAGAACGATCCTGGGGAAAAAACAGGATAAGTGGCAACCCTACTATTCACCACCACCACCACCACCACCACCGAGTGGCATGTGTTTAACTACACCGCTCACATTGCTCCCGGCAGAAAGAGGAATTGTGTCAATTGTGTTGTACAGCGCGCAGGCCAGCAGCACCGGGGGGTCTAACGGAGCCTGAGACAAACGCCGAGGATGCCCACCTTGCAGACGAGCCCAGGCTTGCAGAGAGCCCAGGCTGCCGGACACGGCCCAGAGAGTGGGCGTCGTGCAGCTCTTGATCTCGAGACTCTGCAGCGTGCACTCGAGCAGGGGCTGGTCCACGACGCCGCCGCCAACACCTGCGGTGGGATCCCACGCACAGAGAGACAAACACTAAGACCACGATCGCCCCACACCCCCCCCGCTCCACCACCCCGACGGTCAGCATTGTGGATTGCGCGGTTAGGTGCTGTTCGCGAGAGCCTCGTCCACATGCACAACGACGACGACAGTGGTAACAACAACGACCGCAATTCGCCGCCAAGTGGTAGTGACGTCACCACGGCGTCTGCGCCAGGCTAGGTGCACTGCGAGTGTCAAAGGGTCGCTGATGGCAGGAGATAATTGTGCGTAACACACGCGCACACATTCACAGAGCCTCTGTTGAGGATTGTGCCCCACAGCACTAAGAACGTACACACACACACGCGCACATGAGACAATCGTCTCCTTATACCATGGCAGGAGCAAGTGCTGTTAGCAAACACCTATTAAGCACAGCACCATTCTTGGCCATTTTCGTTTCCCCAATGCAGATGTTTACTCACCACAACAGATGCTCATTTCAGGCCGAGTCAGCCTAGGGGAGGCTCAGAACCGATTCATAAATCATTCTCTACACATGTTAGCCTTGGCCGGGAATCAAACTCGGGCCATTGGGTTCGTAGCGTAGTACGCTAACCACTATACCACCACTCCGTCATTAACACCTAGAAGGAAATACTGATCAACACTACGCGATCATTACTATTGTAGAGAAGAGATGTCCCCAAATGCACCCTCTCAACGACGCTCACTGCGCACATCCCTTCTCTACGCTATTAAGCAACAAAACAGGGACTAATTATAATATTCGTTATGCAATCCATGCAGCTGTAATAGTATATGCAGGTCATAGATTATGTTCTAATGCACCTTTCCTTTCCCATTAGTTCTGGCTATCATTATGACACTCCATATGGGGGAATGCCAGAAAACTACAATGGCTGTACAAATAATCCGTGGTATACTGGGGGGATAAACACACGGGTTCGGCCAACAGAGAAGTGTAATCCCTGTTATGCTGATCAAAGTCACAGAAGACCCTACAGCTCGCTTGCCAACGGTCTGTGCTGCTACAATCACTACGATGTTTGGTCATTCACCAGACTCTGAAAAGCACCTCTATTTAAGCCTGATGGCAAGATCAGGCCGGCAAGGCTATGAACAACAATATGGGCAAAAATGCGATATTGAGCACAGCGATTAAATACACAGCACGAGCAGATAAACCTTAAACAGTTATTGGCTTGTTTGGTTGCTTAGCCACTGTCAGATTTGTGGAACACTCCGTACAGCCATGCAGAGCGCACAGGAAGGAGGTCAGTTTCCCAGCAGAGCTCAGACCACAGGACACATTAGAAGCCCTTACGAACATGGCTTTTAATACCTCCAATGCCAAATTAAAGCCATAACCCTCATCCACCTCCACATGACACAACCATCGGCCACCACCGCCCCACCTCTCCAGAGACTTCCGTTCAGCGTAGCCGTATTACCATTGCAAGAGACATGGATACAACCGCGTGCCTGCGTTTGACATATTTACAGCATTACGACTTGTTTACTATGGACGTCTGTAAACATGTGGTAAAATTAAAAGTGAATATTTTCTCTGTGAGTTAAGTGCCCTTAACTTGGGGCACCAGGGGGGAGGGGTTAGGTCACACTTCTGGTTTGGCAGATTGGAACCTCCTAAGCTTGAGAGGAGAACCGCCAGCCGCATCACCCAGACACAAAGACAAAGATCTCCCTTGTAGCCTTCACAGACTGTTGGGGCAAGTGCTGTTAGCGAGCACCTATGAAGGTCGGCATGGTCACATGAGGGGGTTGGATGGCCAGCACCACGCCCGGCCGCCTTTGTCTCCCTCGTGACGATGTTTACACATCACACCAGGCACTCATTTGAGGCTGAGTCGACTTAGGGGAGGCCCAGAACCGGTTCAGATATTTGTCATTGGTGTTGGCCATGAGCGGGAATAGAACTTGGGTCTCCAGGTTCACAGCACAGCGCGCTAACTGCTGCAGCACCACTCCCCACGGTCACAGACACACATGCTCATTCACAGATGCACGTGTGCACTCACATGAACGTATATACATGCAGGCTCACACACACGCACATACGCTCACACAAAGACAAAGATCCCCCATATAGCCTTAACGGACTGTTCGGACAAGTGCTGTTAGCGAGCACCTATGAAGGTCGTGGGGGTGGGTGGACAACATGACAGGCAAACGCTCACTCACATACACGAATGTATATGCAGGCCCACACAAACACACATGTATGCGCAAACCCACACACACGGGTACATGCACAACAATAACAACTGCCGTTCGCCACAAAGTGGCCGGTGACATCACCCCGGCATTTAATCCAGGCTAGGTGCACTTTGAGGCACATGCACACACGCTTGTCTATGTATGCATAACAAAGACAAAGAGCCCCCGTATAACCTTAACAGGCTGTTGGGGCAAGTGCTGTTAGCGAGGACCTATGAAGGCCGGCAAAGCACACGAAGGGTTGGGTGGCGAGCACCACACCCAGCCAATTTTGTTGACACACCACACCAGGTTCTCATTAAAGGCTGAGTCGACCTAAGGGAGGTCCAAGACCGGTTCAGATATTCGCCACTGAGGCAGGAATCGAACCCGGGTCGCCGGGTTCGTAGCGCAGCACGCTAAATGTTGCACTACCGCTCCCCACACACACACACGTACATGCACGCTCGTTCACACATGCTTGCTCGGACACATATATACTTGTTTCAAAACCAGCAGCCTGCTTTAGCTCCTTGAGTCGCTCATTAAAACTCAGAATGAATCGGTGATGCAGTGAGTCCGTGCCTCCACGTGTGAGCCCACTGAGAAAAATTAACTCATTTTGCAAGAGAGCCCTTCCTTCAAAATGTAGACAAGTAAAGGAAGAAAGTCGTTTGATTATGGTCAGTGCAACTACATGCAGTGATTCGGAGACGAGGTTTGTAGGAGGCACCTTCTTTATTGTAACAGTCACGGTCTCGTCTACTCACTCTCTACAGTCGCATAGCCGAGCCTGTACACAACACGAGCCGTCTAACACCGACGGCGCTGACTGAGACAGCCAACAACTATCTGGCAGCGCAATATCTAGCGGAGACGCTTAGCGACGACGAGACGACAGCGACGATGGGACAAAGTCCACTCCCAGAACCGGCAGCCCTGAGCTCCCCGCTCTCGGCTCCTTTTATGCTCCCAGCGCGCCCTGGCTCCGCCCTAGCCGCGCCTCCCTTCTCGAACCTGCTAGCAGGTTCCAGGGGCCTCCAGACGGGGTCCTCCGTGACCCTTGCCCTAGTTCCTCCGCCCTGCCCACACACACCGTGCACACGCTCACCAGCGTGTGCACTGTCTGTCCACCACAGTTGCCGCTGCTGTCCACCAGCCGGCACTATTACACTACACGTGCATGACATACGATTGCAGAATCATTGTATATGAAGACAGCCTCGAAATTGTGTTCAAAATGTGATTATTGTTATTCTTTGTCATCGGATTCCACGTCACGCAACCACCTTAGGCCACCGCGCGGGAGCAGCGTGAGTGAGCTGTAAACTCTCGTAGCGTCACAAAGTCTGCGAAAAATCGAATTCCAATACGATTTTTGTTTATTTGTACGTGTGTGGAAATCATTTATTACTGGATTGACCGTCAAGTAGAACTGCAATTGTTATTATTGTTGTTTTGCTGCCTTGCCCAAGCTTGTACTTGTAATTCATGTAATAATGCAATTTGTAATTATGCAGCTTTATTCATATGGACTTATTTATTTTTCAGCGACTTGCTTACTTTTCTCTATCTTACCCCAGTATCCTTGCTGTATTTTTTGTTGATGTAACTTTCTGACCTGCCCCTACTTGACATCCGTGAAAAAGAGCTTTACAGCTCATCAGATTCCTCCAGTGGAAAAAAAGCTCCGAGTCTGATTCTAAATCACAGGTGGCTTCCCGGACTGGAACCCCAAGACATCCCAATGGCCCCGACTCTGAACTAAATAAAGAATTTTTTTTATTTTATTTTACCAGGTAAAGCCCACTGAACTATATAGCTCTTTTTCATAAGCAACCTGGCCACATATGATAAGCTCCCCCCCTCTCCTCCCCCTTAACTTGTATTTAAGAACTTGCATCTTGGAATCCCTGCCTCACTTGATACAGCAAATCTGGCTGTGACGGTCCCACCTGATGACGGAGACTTGTGTTGCCTCCGAAACGTCTTGATTTTTTATTACTTTATTTTTATTAATTTTAATTTCATTTTTTTTTACCTACGTGACTTTACCGAAAAAACTAAGAGTATGAATCCTTGCAGTCACGAAAGCTTCAAATCTAGAATTAACACATGATAGCTCAATGAAGTGGCTTATCTTGTGGAAATGTATAGTAGCCAAATACACTAAACGCACATTGATTCTAAATGTGGAGGGGAAAACCAGAGGACCTGGAGGACCCGGAGAAAAATCGAAACTACCACGGGCAGACAGACATGCAAACTCCAAATATACAGCAGATGTCACAGGGTCAGGAGCGAACCCACGACCTCCTGCAGACCAGGCGAGGTAGTTAACATCTTGCCACCTCAGCTCATGTAATTCTAAGCATGACTGCTAAATCACGGGAATATGAAAATACAAATAATTTTAAGGCGATGGCACTTCTTCACTCAGCAGCGGTCGAGCAACATCCCTGCCAACTCACGACTGGCTTATTCCACGTGATTGGACGGACATTTCCACGAAGGCACGCACGTATGGAAATGCCTTTGGGAAAAGCTAGGTTCGAAAGATAATTACCGTATTCTGTGAGTGTGTGGGTCCATGGGAAAAAAATTACAAGGAAAAGCTCTATCTATATATATATTCCGCTGCTGGCAGAAATAAGCGACAATAATTACAGTACGGTGTATATATATATAAAACCTTGTGGGTTAAATCAAAAGAACAGAAAGGCATGGCGCTAATGGGCAGGGGAATAGAGGCATCTGTAGGAGAGCATATTCTCAG